TTCATTGCTGCCAAATCTGTGACAAATCCCAGTGAGGCGGCTGCCTATGGGAACAGGAAGATCTCCATACTAGTCGAGAGCGGCTCCATCAACGGACGAGGGATTATGGCACTAGACCTTGCTATCTTGATGAATCAAGTAAGTTACAACCTAAGATCCAGAATGGTCCACATTTTCATGGACGCTGAGTGGGCTGGCGTCAGCGGTGGAGAGATTGCGTCTGCAATTAACCAAGCCGCTCAGTTTATCTGCAACACGGGAATGACTGGGATTGACCATGTGAATTGTCATCTTGTCCTCACCAGCTCTCCGGCCCTTGGACTGAACGCCCTCTCTACTGAGATCTTGACTGTGCTTCACCTACTGGAGCTGTACTGGGCAAAGGGCCCCGAAGCACCTTTCCTGTGCTTTATTAATACTCCTGATGCCTTTGGGTACAGTCCAGGTACTTACTCTAACATGTACACCATTTCTCTTGGGATGGTAAGCATCGTTGAGCCCAACATCGCCCAACATCGCCCAATATGGTGCCATTGCCAGCATCTCGACCTCTTGGTTCTTTAGACTGGGCGTACAACTCAGTGAACAGCGGGCTGGAACAGTGACCAAGGGGGCAGTCAAGGAGCTCAAGATAACCAAACAGGAAGTTAGCAATGTGGTGACAGTTCTCAGAGGGGACACCACTAACGAAGACTAACTAGCCCACAAAGGAACCCCCCACCTCAGGAAGGCACCCCAAACCCAAAAGCCCCGTGCCGAAAACGACAGCCACAGGAGGCCCCAACGCGTTTGCGCTCCCCTCCCCCTGTAGTGTAGTAGATTAAAAAAAACAAAAAGCTGACTCACTTCCTTGTAAACAAAATCTACCTACTGGTATAAATAAAGTTGATTGATTGTATAATATTGAATGTATCATGAAGCAAATCAATAAATATCATATTCCCTTCACACACCTTCAGCTCAGTTGTACTGAAGCACATTTGTGGTTGACATTTTTAGCTTTTTTATATTTCATTTTGGCAAAAAGTCGTTGCCATAAAACGTCTTTCCTTCCAATTTTGCTGAACAAAAATGGAGTTCACCTGAGCCTTCAAAGTACAACATCTTGCATGAAGTCCCTCGTGGAGGTTTTAAACTTCTGTTCGGTCACAGCAGAGTGCAGCCACAGCAGCGCTTCATCTGCACCTCCTGAGGTGGAGGGTCTTCACGAGCTGAACGGTCGTCCTTCCACTCCGACAGAGAGCCGCTGGAGGTGGACAGCAGCCTCCCACACACCAGATCAGCTGCTCTTCCTTCCAGAACAGATAGATCTGTCACCGTTTTCTCTCTCAATGACATGTCCCCATTTTCATCGTCATCTATCAGCACAATCTCTTTGGGGTAAGTCACGCCGGCCCCGTGGAGACTGTGGTTCTCCACAGACTCCTCTGTAGTGTAGGCATCTACAAAGGTTATAGTGGATGACTCTGTCAGTGACTCGTGTGGGTCTGTGGAGTTGTCATCTGGTCCCAGGCACACTTGGCTGCTTGAATCCACCATCAGAGCGGTGTTCCTGTGAAACAGCTCGTCTCTTATGTTGAACTTTTGTTCCTGGTGTTGTGGGTTAATGTCAGGAACACCGTCTGGTGTTGTGAGGTGGTCTCTGGTGTGGGAACCACTCCCAGGATGCATCTTAAAAGCCACCTTCTGGTAGTCATTGTAGACCTGCCCACTGCTGCTCCCTGTTGGAGAAGAGAGGGAGAGGCTGGTGTCGTCTCTTCCTTGCCTCTTCATGTAGCTCTAAAAGAAAAATAAGAAGGTAGAGATTTATCTTCAGGTGTTTTTTTTACTCCTAACTAAAGAAAAAAAAAACTTTTACAGTAATAAAAAGTTTCTGGCACAGTTGTAATAATATTAGTGTTTGTTTGATTCTTAGCTATTTGCACAAATGTCAGATTGAGAACAACGAGGGTTAACCTCAGAGGAACTTAAAGTTTCACAGAAATGAGTGCTGAATATTTGGCTGTAAACCTCAAACTCATCAAATACTGAATATTGTTCATTTAAAAGAAAAACTGTGCCTCGTGTAACTTTCACTCTTATGTCGTCCTTTAGCTTTATGACCAGTCTTGTTTCTCAGGGGACAAAAATCAACAAACTTATGTAACTGCTTAAAACATTTTTTTTTTTCTTTCCCACAATAAACTAGTCAAGGGCAGCACGGTGGTGCAGTTGGTAGAGCTGCTGCCTCTTAGCAAGCAGGTTGCCCCGGTTCAAATCCCGGTCCTGGGTCCTGTCTGGGTGGAGTTTGCATGTTCTCTCTGTGCATGCGTGGGTTTTCTCCAGGTACTCCAGTTTCTTCCCACAGACCAAAAACATGCATGTTAGACTGATTGGTAACTCTAAATTGTCTCTAGGTGTGAGTGAGAGAGTGAATGGTTGTTTGTCTCTATGTGTCCCTGTGATGGACTGGAGACCTGTCCAGGTGTCCCCCACCTCTCATACAGTGACTGCTGGATATGGACACCAGTGACCCCCACGACTCAATAAAGGAAGAAGCGATTAAAGATGAAGGATGGATGGATGGATGGATGGATGGATGGATAGATAACCTAGTTAATCTTTTAGTGCTGTCTCAGCCTGAAATCAAAACAGCAAATTTAAATTATAAAAAAAATATATTTAGGGCCTCTAGTTTTAGAAAACTCCACATTTCATTTTTAAATTGACAAAATATATAATTTATGGCAAAAAAATAAATAAATAAAAAAATTCCCCTATTAGTACATCCAAAATTATTCTGATGTTTTATTTTAAATCTAGTCCTAAATTCAAGTTTTATCTAATCATTTTTTAAATATTATTATTATTTAACTCTACCCGTGAACAACAGTAGATTCTGTTTTGTATTTTTCTAACTGGGACAGTAGATAGTAATTACAGAGCAGCTGTCTTACAAACAGCAGTGGACCATACAACAGAATAAGCAGTTATTTAGTACCAGACTCTGACTGAAGCTGGTACCTTCAAAAGAAGCTGAAAATAACTTGCAGTCCCTGAGGATGAGCTCTTTGACAATGAAGAATGAATTCCTCCAAAGTGCTCCAACTAAAACAGGAGCTGTTATTTAAGAAGGTTTCCTGCTGTCTCCATGAGCTGAATGTGCTGCACTCTGCACCGAAGCTCGGCAAACTGACCCTGTTACACTTGAATAGTTCATACGCGTGACAGAATAAGGACTCTATAAATTAATAATATCATGTAAACATGCTCCAGTTCAGCTTGGACTGCTTCCTGAGCCGGAGCAGAGGAAACACACAAGAACAGTATCATGGCTTCACTGTGAACCAGATGTGAGTCCGACAGCAGCTTTCAATGGAGGAAATCAGGAAAAACTCTGCTCAATTTTAAAAACATTTAGGAGGTCTCATTGCAATGCCCATACATTACTGAACTGATAATTAAAAACATCTCATATCCACACAGTCATATTTGAAATAAAAACACAGAGAAATCCACTTTATATGAAACATTTTTTTTACCTGGAACTTTCAGAGTTGACCTCTTCTTTAGGTTGATGTAGTAAAAATCACATGGCGGCGACGAGATGGTCCATGAAGTGCAGTTCCTGTCGGATCTGCTTCTCTGACGTCTTTAAACACAGACTCTTTACATGCTCCCACCCCTCGTCTCAGAAACCACGACTGCTCAGGGGGAGCCCAGAGTAAACCACCGCCTGCAGTCACTCCTGTCATATAAAGATATTTTTATATCCAGAAATAAAAAGTCTCAATGTAAACATCTTAAAAAGGGTGTACTAGGTTTGAGACACCACAAATTAAACCAAAACATATTACTATTCAATATAAACTAGAATTGACAAAATTTACAAGATATTTTAAGGGCAATAAAACATTTAGTAAAGTTTACTGTTTGCCCTAAATGTTCACATTCAGTGCTCAGTCAAGAGGAATATGAGGCCATTACAGTTTAAACTCCAGAAATTGCCTTTCCTGTGAAAATGCAGTGTTATTGCACTGAATGATTTTAGCTGAAAGATGCTGAAGATCTTTAAACAGTTAATGCGAGGAAGATATTTACTAATTATATATATATATATATATATATAT